GTACATTCAGGGTATTAAACAGAACAATTAGAAATTAAGGCTACTGAAAAAAAGGAAGTAGTAAGTATTATAACATGTAAATTTCGGTGTACAGTAGTCGCCGGTTATTAAGCCCACCTCGAGCCCAGACCACATTGGGCTTAATAAGCGGCTGGGCATATTAACCGTGGGCTTAATAACCGGCGACTTCTGTAATGATAAAACGACTAGCGTGTTTTAGTTTCTGATGGCGTGGTGATACGGATGGTTGTGCTGGTCAAGCCTCATCTTAAAGATGTCCAAATGCACAGCATTCCGCGCCCGAATCACCTTGTAGTAGAAGGGGAACCTTCTTGTGCCCAGTCTTGCTCCAGTCACATGCAGTTTGAAAGGATGTCCTCTCGACCAACTGGTAGTGGCCAATTCAAATAAGCTAAACATCAAACTTAATGTCGGCGAAGATCTATCCTACGATTTGTGCGAGGCAGGACGGCGTTAACAGTATCACGCGAAGAAAGCTGGCCAGATACTAACCATGGATTTAAAGGCCTGAGAAAATTTTAATAGTCCTGGTCTAGCGGCCTGCATTAATTTGTAGGAAGGCGAAAAAGTATAGGACGGTTAAAATCCGAGATGTTCCTTTCCAATCACGGTCAATTATCGCAAAGTGACGACCTGCATAAAATCCGATCCGGGAAAGCATGCGCTAACAACGTGAGCAAGTTTCTGTTTGGTAAGTGGATGCGTTAAAATAATCGAATCCAAACGTTCTGTTTGTGAGACAAAGCCTAGAATCGTCTGAAGAATTCAAGAATAACTGCTAAATGATAGATTGGCAAGACTACCGTTTTTGAAATACCTGAACTTCTGCCAGTTTCTTGAACAGTCTTCCCCCTACGCAACAGCTGACGATAATTTACAGCCGTATCAACCAAGTGAGGGCGGTTATTCCTGATTCGCTTGCCACAACTGGCCAATCACAAAGCAACTCCTGATGCGGAAGATTCAACGCCTACACCTAAAGATCATCCGGCGGCTTCTACCAAATGATCTTGCAACAGGAGTTACCACGCTGACGCTTCTTTGGACGAAATTCGGGAAGTCGGCCAATCCACCTCAAGCTAACCTGAAGGATTTCGTTTCAGCTTGGGACGAACGTAACAAAGAAGTATAATCAACAATGAAAAGGGATCCCGAATGCCTCTATCAGGTAAACAGTATCGCCGGCAAAGACAAGAGAGACTGGAATGGG